TCGGGCTCATATATATATATATACACATATATTACATATATATATATACTACTTATATATACATATATATATATATATATTACATATATATATATATATATACTCTGGGATATTATATATATATATACTCTAGCTATACTACTATATTGGACACTTGTGTGGGGTTTGAGGATGACCCCAATGTGCGAGGGCCAACAGCGAAAAGCTTTGAAGCTTATGGGGATTAGCACCTCCCTTGAACCACGTATATTCCGAAGAGCAAATTGCGCATACGACCAGATGGATAGGCTGATTAAGACCCCGTTCTGGCTTTACGGTGATGAAGCTCAAAATCCGCAAACCCTGTCGCACAAAAGTTTGCGTGGTGAGCAACAACCATCGTGTGCTCAACCCGGATCCCCCGTCCAACCCCGAAATCCTCAACCGGAAACCCGTTTCGCTCAGGTAGATAGGGCCCGGGACAAGCATCGGACAAGGGCAGAGATGAAAGCAGTCGGCCTCCCGACGCCGAAGAACACACTCATCAAAGGCCCGACGAGTGTAGCAGAATCGGGGGTTTTGCAGGGCAGCTTGGGGCGTTCACTTCGCAAAGATCTTGCGGGTTTCTAGCACTTGAGCCTTTGAGCGGATCTTCCCCCTGTCTTGGGCAAGAAGGTTAGTTCATCAAGCAAACTGCAGGAAGTATGCAGTGAGTGGCGGAGACCCATGAGCCCGACTGGCAAAAACCTTTGCTCTTCTGAGAACCCGAAACTTCAAAAGCGGGGACTTCCCTGCCCTGGCTCCCATCATGCTGAAGTTTTCTGCTTTCGATTCGTGGTCCCTAGGTGCCCACGAGCTCGAGGAAGCGATGAGGACGGTGGGCTTTCCGGCCGTGCCCATGCTGCTAAGTCCTTGGGGTTAATATTCTAGGGCTTAGGCTTTACGGGATGCGTCAAGGTTTGTTATTTATTGGGGCTGTAGGGTGTGTGACTTCGTTGTATTTCGTTGTCCGGCTCGGTATTTTGCCACCCTTCTCCGGAATTGCCCAAGATGCCAGGTACTGAAGCCCATCTCGGGGGCCGCGTCCCTCGGTGTGAAGAAGGCGGGAGGCTCAGAAAGGATTCGTTTATGTACGTAAACGCCCATAGTACTTGGACTCTCCCGCACCCACATACCCTGATTGAAGGGTACAGCGAGGGTCCCTCCTAGTTCATAGCAATCCTTGGATTCAACCTTGCATGGTAATGCTGGTAACCCTGGTAACTCTTATAGGAAGCCTTCCAGAACCCCTAAACCCTAAACCCTAAAAAAATGACCCTGAGCAGGTGAGCTCCGAAGCAGAGCTTAGGGCAAGCTACGTGGAGGTCGTCACGGAGCTGTCGAAGCTGGTGGTGTCAAGCGCTTAGTGCTCTCTTTTGTAGCGTCCCAAAAGGGGACGTATAGGGACAACCATAAGATCCCATTAGGCATAATATGGAGTGTAGGGGTCCTCTTACTTGTCATTACAGTAAACAGTCACTGAGGTCAAGTGGGGCCTTGACGCAGGATGATGGCACCGGCAAAGGTGTCAAGGCAGAGAATGCCATGGACTGCACGATCCTCATGGAGCAGTATCTGGATGCTCGGGCGCAGCACCACCTCTTGCATGTAGACTTCTCATCAAGCTAGAACCCCCTAAACCCTAAACCCTAAACCCTAAAGGTTTAGGAAGATTTCGCGGGTCGGCTATCTTCACAGCATCACGAGAGGATCTTCAGGGTCGTCTTAGGAAAGACCAAGGATGGGAAGGAGGTGGATGTCGACGTGGTCATGAGTCAGGGTGAGTGGCGCTATGCAGCCGTCACAGACAATGGACCCACACTGGAACCTTATTTCAACGAGACTTATGCCGTTTGCCCCTCGCTATTGCCCTCGGCTCAGCAGAAGGAGCTGAAGGATTTGGCCATCTCCACTCTGAAATGCCTGGGCTTCACGGAAGGGATCTTCCACGTCGAGTGCAAATACACCTCCCATGGCCCCCACCTCATCGAGGTGAATGCCCGTATGGGGGGAGGGCAGGTTCACGAAACCAACTTGCGAGTTTGGGGCGTCGACCTCGTGGAGGAAACACTCTTCGTGGCCGCGGGAATTCCCTGCCGCCCCTTCATCCCAGAAGCTTGGCTAAACGAGTTCTTCTTTATTTTGGGGAACACTGGGGGGTGCATTCCGGGGCACGGCTGGAACATCTCAGGTTAAGAAACCCCCAGGGGGAGGGGTTGCCTACTGCGACATCAACGCGGAAGAGAGCGGCACGCTGCAGAACCTGGATTTTCTTACTTCTCTGCAGCAGAAGGAGGGAGTCGTGTGGGCACGCCCCTATATTCGCGCAGGATCTCAGGCCGGCAAAATCAGAGTGATACTGCTGAGGGAAAATCCAGCATTACTTCACCTACCCCAAACTCTGGGCTGGTAATTTCATTTCTTTGTATGGACAAGGGCAAAAAACTGTGCATCAACGCACACCCATGTCTGATATTAAGGTTGACGACTTTTCATTGCTTGCAGTTTCAAGCATATTCCAGGGTGTTCAGCTCCCGTGTTGAGAGCTCCCTGACTCGTCTCAGGCCGGAGGGGAAAGCACTTTGCTGCAGCCGAAGAGCACAACTCAACAACCCCAAAACCCGAAACCCTGAACTCCAGAGCCTGAAAACTCGGTGCAAAAAAGCCGCCTTGCTGGTGATCCCTCGTTAGACTTCGTTGTTCTTCATTCGCCATCTATGTAAACGGTTCATATCCATGAACGAAGAACCCGCAAGAAAATCCAAGTAGGGAGTATGACGTGATGTGCGTGCTGGTGGTAGCTCGGGAGACATGAGATCAACAAATGTTACACACGATGCACCCTAACAACTCAGACCCCTGCCTTACTTGGCAGGTAGTTGGCCCGAAAGATGGGTTGCCGACCTGGATCGCCGAATTTCTTGCCGCATGGCGTTGAAAGTTGTGTTTATTCCTGGGGGGGGGGGGGGGGGGNNGGGGGGGGGGGGGGGTGATGATTCTCGGGAGTTTGCAGATGAGGATGAATGGGAAGGCATTGGACTAGTGCATTTAGGGTGTAGCTGAGGCTGATTGGAAGTTTGAACGTTTCCACGGTAACGGATGAAGCGAGTCTTCATGGAAGGGGCTGCTGTAAAATTGCATGCATATAGCGCCAGCGTGCAGACTGGCAAGACCTTATTGGCTTTTGACGACATTTCGCTCAAGCAGTATGGGTCTGGCTAAATCGCAGCAGGCAATTTTTGTGTCCTGAGTCACCAGCGTTGCCATGCATGAGCCGATGTTCTCATACTCAAATTCACTTAATCCATCGCACAAGTTCTTTTCAGGTACAAAGGCCTACAGCTGCTGAAGCATTGGCTTGCTTGCAGCAGCGCCAATCGGAAGTCAAGCCAGACATCCGTTAATCGGATTGGGCGATTGCTTATCCAACTTCCATTTTTCGCAGGAATTACGGAAGATCAAAAGTGCTTGTCGTTGCGATGCTGCATATGCTCTCTGTGTGATTGAAACGCTTTTTCCTGTTTTGCAATCTGCCAGCATAAGATTATATCTGGGATAGTTGCTGGAATGCTTTAATCTACTTCTTGAGATGTACATTCGGGGCGTAGGTCCCGTAGGTGTCCAAAACGGAACATAGGATCATAATTTGGGGTCTTCAGCCAGCTGGCGGGTGTTGGACCTTGACAGTTTAAGATCGGAACTTTGATCATTTCTGTGGAGGATTCAAGTCGTCTGCCGCGCAAATTCCTCATCACATGGACGTCACCTCCATCCAGTGAGATGCTACTGAGGCAACAAACAACACGTCGGGAGTTTGGTTTTCTGCGTGTCGCAAGAAATTCGGAAGTAGCAAGCATGCGGCGCGGCAGAGACCCTCTCGAAAGGGTCGATTTACCCTCAGACCCTCAGACCTGATCCGAATCGAACGACTCTTTCCAATTTTCTATTCTACCGACAAAACATCAAAACCCGCCTGTTTTAATACACGGTATTGTAATTGAATGGCTTAGAGCTTATGAAACTAAGACGAGTTATAATTCTATTTGGGATAATTCATGCTACTGTCGAAGATGGGTTTGAAAATAAAGACGACCTGGCATGTGCATATTTAATATATTCGAGTGTTACGGGATTTGAATTTTTCAAACGAATAGATAAAATAATAATAATTATAACAATAGGAATCGTTACATTTTCTGGGTAGGAACTATTTGATTTGAAAGATATTATTTGAGAGAAATATAATTTGGAGAGATTATTCATATTTATTTAGTGAGTTATATTTATATATTATATTATTATTGCCCTCGTATTTTATAGATATTCTCGATAGGTCTTATAAATTTGAATTTGATTTTTCTCTAATAAAATGATATGGTGCCGCTTGAAGTTAAACTTTTGTATTTATTTTGAAATACTCTGGAATACCGTCATTCGCGGCATTTCTTTATAAAAACTCTTGCATGCTTGCTTCGAGGTACGACTCTGAAATCTCGGAGATTTTGGTAGCTTTAGGAAAGCTCGCGGTCTTAAAATCTTCCAATTTTTAGTGATATGCTTCTTTTGGTGTAGGCACAAATACCCTGCTTATGAGATGCATGCCCGCTTATGCTTGCACCAATTTGCCGCATATTTCTTCCACGGGATTCTGTTCTTGCAACTCCCATGATATAAGCATACTTCAATCGCTCCATGACGTCAACTTATCCGAATAGTATACCGTCGAAGCCACGAGCCGAGCTAACTTTACGGTTGTTGATTGCTGAAAACTCGAACGCACAACTTATATATGAATCGCTACGGCTACACGCGCTCTATGCGGTGCAGAACGCTTTGGGGCGCCTAGGCTTCAAAATTTTGGAGAATTTTACAAACTACGGCGCGGAGTCGGTTCGGCCTACCCAGGACCCAGAATTTCAGGAAGATTTAGAAGCTCGGGCTGCAACTTGAAGAGGGCGGGGCCTCTTCGGCGGTCTCGGGCGCTCGACGCCTCGATCTCGAAATTTGCAGAAAATTTTCAGTTATCACTTTTCTAAATTTTCTAAAAATTTAGACACCGAAAATTTTCGTAAAATTTAGAGAACGACTTCTAATATCTTATATTCCATATGCAGAATATATGTTACAGCCATTTTATAATCTTGTACTGGAATATCGTGTTTCATCTATCCATGTAGGTTATCGATCACAGGGATTTTCTTATGTAGTGCTATGGAGCAGCGCTTGTATGCGAAAATTCAGTATCTGATCTGTCTATCTGTCTGTCCGCGTTCGTCGGTCTATCTGTTTGTCTGTCTGTCTCTCTGTCTGTCTATCTCTATCTGTGCTTCTCTCTCTGTCTGTCTCTCTATCTATCTCTCCATTTCTTTATCTCTCCATCTCTCCGTCTCTGCATACCTCTATCTCTCCATCTCTCTGTCTCCCTATCTCTCTATCTCTCTATATTCCCGTCTCTCCATCTCTCTCTCTATCTTTCTCTCTCTATCACTCTCTCTATTTGTCTCTATCTCTCTCTTTCTCTGAGTCTCTTTCTCTCTCTCTCTCTTTTTTCTCTCTGAGGCTTCAAGATTTTGCAGAAATTTATAGATTGTGGCGCGTAAGGCTGCATTTTTAAGGGGGCGGGGCCTCTTCTAGACCCAATTTTCTAAATTTCTGGAAAAATTTGGGGATCCGGGTAGCTCGACGCCTCGGTATCGAAATTTGCGGAAAATTTTCAATTATCGCTTCTCTAGATTTTCTAAATTTAGTTAGATATCTCAAATTTTCGGAAAATTTAGAAAATGAATGTAACTTTCAAATATCTTATGCTCCAAATATAGAATATGAATTTTAATTATTATATACTTTTGTGCTGGAGTATCGTGCATCATCTATTCATGTGGGTTATCGACCATAACGATTTTCTCATCAAGTCTTATGCAGCAGCGCTTGCACGCGAAAAATCAATATCTGTCTGTCTAATTATCTCTCTATCTGTCTATCTTTCTATCGCTCTATCTATCTATCTCTCTATCTCTCTCTCTCTCCCTATATATCTCTCTCTCTCTCTCTGTCTCTCTCTCTATCTCTATCTCTCTCTCTCTATCTCTCCCCTCTGTGCCTCTCTCTCTATTTCTCTCTCTCTCTATATCTCTTTCTCTCTTATCTCTCTCTCTATCTACTTATCTCTCCTTCGCTCTCTCTCTCTGCCTCTCTATTTCTGTCTCTCAATCTTTCTCTCTCTATTTCTCTCTCTATCTCTGTCTCTATCTCTCTCTATCTATCTCTCTCTTTCTCTCTCTCTCTCTCTCTCTCTCTCTCCATCTATCTCTCTCTATATCTATCTCTCCGATATAATTTATCGTAATCATATTCGAATCTTGACTGATAATTTCTCCGGTCAAGGGCACCATGAAGGGCAATTATTCATGCATAATATAATTTATCGTGAGGTATTCTTAATTTGATGATTGGTGTTGGCTCCTATACAGCCAGGTCGCAGCCGGCGACAAATTGCATATGCGGACATTGCACCTCTATATTACTACTGCCTCTCCCCGGCTACGCAAAAGACCTCGCGTCCTGCTTATAATTCTGCCCTCGGCCTTCGGCATGGCACTCTGGATGTAATTTGTCGCAAGGTGCTGTCACTTGAAGCTTGGTTTCAGCTGCCACAAAAGCCGAAGTGAACAATCGTAGGTTGCCTCTGGCGCCATGAATCGGTGTCAACATATATGATTAGATGTCCAAGCATCCGTGGCTGATTTTGGCGCCGGGAAATTACATGAAAGAATTCGATATCAACTTGTCCGTAGCTGCAATGCTATGCGAAATTTGCGCCTTCGTGCTGAGACCTGGCGCTCTAAATTTTCTACAAATTTTCAGACTTGGGCTGTCGTTGCCGGAATACTGCCAAGCTGCATGTTCCACTTGAACACCGCTGCTAGAAGTAGCGGGTCAACTCTAGTTCTTGGGTATTATGATGTAGTTTATGGGTTCTTGGATTAATCGAGGTTGAAAGCGGCGTTAAATATACAAATTTTCTATAGTAGTATAAATATTCTTTGATATCTGATTTTAAATCGGAATAGAAAAAGATGATATTATTAGGGGGAATCTTTATATTATTAATTATTATAGGTGATTTATGATTGCAAAGGATGATATTATTAGGGGGAATTTTTATATTATTAATTATTATAGGGGATTTATGACTACGATATTATATAAGAAAATCTATATAATCGGTAATCGTAAGCTAAGGACTTTAATAATGATTATTGCAATTCTATTTTTCGATCTTTCGGTATAAAGTAAATTAGAATCGAATAATAGAAATATTTTTCAAAATATCCGATT